AGGTGTTCTGTGACGTGGCAGAGGGCAAGGTGGACACCATCACCTGGAAAAAGGATGGGCAGCCCCTTCCTGCAGAGAGAGGATCCCACCTCTCCGGCAGCCTCAGCGTGTTGTCCCTGAGATCGGCCAAGAAGTCGGACTGTGGCTCCTACTCCTGCAACGCCAGCAACAGGATAAGCTGGCAAGAAACCTCTCTGAACATCACCATCGCAGGTGATCACTGCTGGGGTTTCATCTCCCACCCCTCTTCCTGCTCTCCACCCTTCCCTGGGGCCCCCTGAGGGCTTCATTCCATCCCTCTGCCTCCATCCCCCCAAAATCTGGCCACCCTCTCCTGCTGTTGGCAGGAGCTCCCCATGGCAGGATGATCAGCAGCAATTCCCGGTCTCTGATCCCACCAAGGCACAATCTGCTGCCTCCTTGGCAGGAGATTGGCAGTTACCTCTTGGAGAAGGTCCCAAGTGATGGCCCTTGGCCAAGGCAATGGTGAAGAGGACATGGGCAGGGGTGTTGGACAGTCTGTAGACATCCCACATCCCAGGGTGGACATTCTATGGACCACAGGCTGCAGCAGAGAGCACTGATTTGGCCACCAGCTGGAAAATAAATTGAGTCCGTCCTAGTGATGGAAGAGCCCCATGGCCCCCCAGAGGCCTCCATGCTGGTCCTGCTGGTGGCCTGACTCCTGGTTCCTCGGGGGGGTGGGTTCCAGGTCTCTCCCCTGCCTTGCAGGACGTGCTGAGGCTCGCAGTGGTCGCCGTGGTCTTCGCTGCCACCTCGGGATGGGGATTGATTTTTCCCGTCTGCCAGTCTGAAAAGCTCCGAATACGTGAGTGGGCAGTTGGGGGGCAGCTTGAACCTCCATTTCCCTCGTCTGGGGGGGCAGAGCAAGCAGCATTACTGTGGGAAGGGCTGGTAATCAGCTAATTGCCTCTCCAGCTGTCCAAGTGTCTCGTCTTCACATCATCTGGCAGGTAAGAGCAGAAAAACTTTCACTGGCAAGATTTTTAGCAGTGAAAACTGCTTTTACTCTGTTTTCAAGCTGGGTTAGATCCTGCCACTTCCCAGACATCTCTGTCCTAGAGAGTTGAGGTTGTCAATTGGCACTTTTATAGAAAAAAATGTTTCTTCAGGAGCATTTCTTTTATTCCAGGGCTCCATCGATAGGGGAGCACGTTCAATACACCCAACCAGGGGGGCACAGAGCCCTTCCCAGCCCCTCACTCCAAAGAGCAGGTCAAGCCAATGAGGTCCTGGCCAGGGATGGGGACCCCGGGTGGGGATGGGCTGCATTCCCCCTGAGGGAGGGGTGGGGGCTGGCGCAGGCCATCATGGGGGGGTCACAGCAGTCACCCCACGCTGCTCTGTGTGCAGGGGGGGAGCTGTGGAGGTGGCTCAGTGCCTACACCTGCGGGCTGGTGTGCGTCGCCTCCATCCTCACCAGCACCGCCGGGATCCTCTGGATGCGAGAGGAAGGTAGGAGGTGGCCCCTGGGGGGTGTTGAGGTGGGGGGGACGGTGCTGTGCAGACCCCAGAGCGATCCTTGCTGTGCAAACCACACAGGGTGAAGACCTGATGGGAGATGTAAAGCCTTGTGGGGGTCCAGGAGGAAGGGACAACCCCAGGGAGGGAGGGTGATGGTGCCAAACATGGGGGAATAGACCCAGCCAAGGCGACACGGGGCTTCCCCACGTGTGATCCCAGCTGGTTGTGGGGGCCCGGACCACCATATGGATTGCACACCCACCCGTACGATTCACGTAGTTCCTCTCCTTCTCCCAGAGCCCTTCCCAGAGTTAACTGCAGAAGGACAGGTAAAACCACAGGAGCACAGAATGGTTTGGGTTGGAAGGGACCTTAAGGACCATTTACTTCCAACCCCCTGCCCTGGGCAGGGACAAGGGATGACCAAGGGATAGAGAGGCCTCTTGCAAGGACAGACTGGAAAGGCTGGGAGTTGGGAGAGTTGGGAAAAGGGATGTGGTGGGGCGTTACGAAACTATGACAGTGGTAGGCAAGGGCAAGAACCGCTGCTCTGCCTCATCCTGCTCTCTTCCAGGCCCTTCTGTTGCCATCATCCTGCCCCAGATTGCCCTCGCATACGCCATCGTGGTGAACTTCCTGGTCTCTGCCACCGTGACCTTCCAGCCTGCAAAGTTCACCCAATTCAAAAGCAGAACGGGTGAGCTGTTTCACCAAGGCTGGCAGCAGGGAGGGAGATAAAACTGGCCCACTGGGTTATTTTGCCCAAAAATCTCATCCTTCACTTGTTTAAATTAAATCTTTATTTCTACTTCCATACTACCTGAGGCTGGTGGACTCTGCCCCAGCCCAGGGGTGAGGGTAGGGCTCCCCGTCCCTGTCCCCTGACACCAGTAACACCACTCTGTCACCTTTCCCTCGGCCAGCACAGCAGACCTTGGGCTACGCCGCTCCCGGAGGGGTGGTTTCGGTGGTGCTGACGACCAGCGTCCTCATGAAGAACATCCACCATCGCCACGGTGAGCGGGGGTGCTCCAGGGACCACCCCAAGGGTTTGCCACACTCAGGGTAAAGCTTGTCCATCACACCTAGTCCCGAAATCCCCTCAACGCCACCACTCGGAGTTAGACCTGCTCCAAAAGAAATCCAACAAACTGGGGTTTTAAGGGAATTGAAATCGTTGTAAAAGCAAAAATTGTTTTCGCCACCACTCGGAGTTAGACCTGCTCCAAAAGAAATCCAACAAATCGGGGTTTTAAGGGAAGTGAAATCTTTGTAAAAGCAAAAATAGTTTTCAACACATTCTTCCTTTTATTTTATTTTATTTTTATTTTTATACTTATTTTTATTTTTATTTTTTGGCATGTGTGCCTGTTTTCATGGTGGCCATTTGCTTTTCTCCTTTCTCTCCTCCTGCCTCGGACGGCGTTCTGCGCTGATGCCGGGGTCGGTGTGGAGGGCAGAAGAAGGATGCACGGAGCTGGTGGAGGTGACCGCCCTCGTGGTCAGCACGGCGGCCGTCTCGGCCCTCCCACTCCTCGCCATCTTCCTCTGCTGTGAGTCCCCCTGCCCCTCCACCCCCCGCCTGACCTGCAGCCAGCTGCTTTCCCTCTGTCCCTGACGCGGTCAAGCAGCCACGTGAATTATTTAAAAGTCACGTGTTGGGCTCTTGTGAAGACCCCAAGACCTCTCCGCCGGTCGTGTCCCGTCCCCAGGGAGCCCCAGGCAGGGTCCCTGAGTACAACATCCCGTCCCCTGCGCCCGGTGCCCCTCACTCGGCTCCTCCTGACGCCCGGGCACGGGCTTGTCCTTCCTCAGACCACACGACCCAGGGATGGCAGAAGGAACGTGACTCCAGCTCCGTGGACAAGGAGAGGTAAAGTTGCCTTTTTCCCCTCGTAAATTCATGCCGTCTTGAAGGGCAAAGAGCAGAATATGGGAAATATCCCCTGCCTTAAGTCCCAGACCCCAAGAAAGAGGCAGCCCAGCACTGCCCTGCCAGCCCCTGGCTTCACCCTGGGTTCAGAGCTGGTAGCCCTGGTGGAGATCCCCATCCAGGAAAGGGCTCAAGTCTCCCCACAAATCCCTCCCTTCCTCAGCCTGAAGTTTTTAAGCCTTAATTCCTGCTGGTTTCATCCAAGTTTTTTAGGGTTCAGCTGCGCCGTGGGTGTGTTTGGGCTTAGCCAACCTGCAGGAAAGCACCCCGGGGCATCCCAACCTCGTGGGCCTGAAGGACCACCTTCTCTTTGCCCCAGCCAAAACCCTCCCAAGGCCCAGAGGAATGAGTATCACAGCCATTTGTAGGTTCTCCACGTGTCTTTAGGCAATGCAAGGGGTGGGCATGGAGAGGGACCACCGTGGCGATGGCCTCTGCCTGGGGACGGGGCAGGTCTGGAGGGGCACAGCAGGACCCCTGGCTGGGGCGATGCTCAGCATGTCCCACCCTCCTCTTCCTCTCCAGGTCCTTCGAAATGTCCCAGCTGGCCAGCAGGGACTCTTTCTCCACCCGTTAGAGGTTGTTCCTCCCTCAGCTGAGCCAACCCGACCTTTCTCCCAGGTTTGGTGGGTTCAGGGCTCTCGGTTCCCGTGGGGTTGACCCTCTGCAAAGTCTGTAATAAACGGCAGTGAAATGAACCCATTTCTGCCTTTTTTCTTAAACAGAGAACCGGGGGAGGCCCAATGCACATTTATTCCTCTTTCTTCCTCTTGAAAAAAACAGGCTTTAAAGTAAAGAAGCGACTTTAGCCCAATAACGAGGTCACATCTTTTTTTAAACACCTGTGGGTTTGTGTGCCCCCTCACCACCACCCCCCCCCAGCACGGGCTGCACCCCTCCTTCCTGGTGGGGGTGATTTCAGGGCATGTTTTGGGGACCTCCCCCTGGTGGGGGGCGTATCAGGCTCTCTCCCCCTGAATCCACAGCTCCATCTGCTGCCTCTTCCCTTTAGGATGGGGCAGCATCTCCAGGGAAACCTGTGTCCCCCCCGCCCCAGCAATGCTCTGGGGGGGGCAGCAGCTGCTCTGATACGTATTTGCTTAAATGCAAATTGCTCTATAAAAGCCCTGAGCGGTTCGGGGGGGCGTTGGTAGGATCTCCTCCGCCCCTCCCTGGGTTTTCCTGCCCACAAATTGGAGCTCAGCTGTGGGGTGGGTCTGGGGGGGCGATGGGGGGGCCGGGAGCGGGATGCTGCCTACAGAGAGGCACCCCTGCTTCAGGGCAGGGGTTTCTCGCTCCCCGTGGCCAGCAGCAGTCTGGATCTTTATTAACTTGTTATTTGTTTTCCTCCGTGTTTATTTTCCTGCTTGAACGTCTGTCACATCTGTATGTCAGCCCCCCCCCGCGCCCCCCTTCCCACCGAGAGAAACAGCAGCTCCGGGGCCTCTGGGAGCCTGTTCCCTCAAGGAGGAACCGAACTGTTTACGGACCCCTGTGGCTTTATGGGCAGAGTTCCTGCATTTGCCCCCTCAGAGCCCCCCCGGGGGCTGTCTCTGAGACAGGTTCACAAAGTCCAAAAGATGATTTATTGCAGCAACAGATGCAGCAGGTTGGGAATGGCCCTTCGTCACCACACTGGCTGCAATAGTGCTCATGTGTGATGATAGCAAATATCAATAAATACTATTATAGCAAAACAAATGCCCTCCTGCTTATCCCTCCCCAAGAGGTGAGGGCACAACCTTACCAAGGCGTCCCTCCCCCGGGGGGCACGGGGAGCGCAGCCCCTCCGCTGCCTCCTCTAAGTCTCCAGCCCCTTCTCCCCCTGAGAGAAACTTTGCCCCAGGTCTGTGTGCCCCCACCTTCTCTGCTCCCCTCCCCGGGGTGATGCTTAACGTGACCTCCAGCGATTTTAACCTCTCATGTCCCATTCCCACAACCCCTCTCCAAACAGCCTGACCTCGGAGGACCCCGCAACTCAAGTACCAGGAGTTTAGCCAGGTGGAGAGGTAAGAAAAATAGATATCAAAATCAAAAAGCAGGGACTTAGGCTCTGAGCACCCCAGGGTTTTAATCCCACATCCACCCCTGCCCTCCCAGTTTTGCGGCTGGTTTTAGCCTTCAGGATACAGGGAAACCACGGCTTGTCATGTGGAGCTACAGTCAATGACAGATGGAAAGGAGGGGGCAGGGGTTGTTTATGTACCCCCGAGCCTCATGTCCTGCTCTCCTGTTGCTCAGTGAATTCTCTGTTGATTTTCCGTTTGCTTAGTTCTTAACAGCAGACTCTCTGGCTTCCCCGTAATACCATTAAGGCTTAAAGCCAGCAGGGGCTGATTTGATTGAGCAGGCTAACAGGGACTGCTGAGGGTACCTGGTTGCTCAGGATGGTGAGCAGATGGCTCTTGATTGCTGGCAGGGCTGGGCACTCCACAGCATCCCCGGGCAACCCGGGCCAGCCCTGGCTCACCCTCACAGTGAGACAGTGGTTTCTACTATTCGGACTGAAAATGTCCTTTCTGACGTGTGCCCATGGCTTCTTGGTCTGTCCATGGGCACCACGGAAAAGTCTGACTCCCTCTTCCTTACAGCCCCCTTTAGATATTTATACCCCATGATGAGATCCACCACCCCCCCTCCTCCAGGCTGAACGGTCCCAGCTCTCCCAGCATCTCCTCAGATGGGAGATGTTTCAGTGCCTGAGCCATCACGGTCGCCTTTTGCTGGACTCTCTCCAGTAAGTCCATGATTATTCCTGTACTGGAGAGCCCAGAACTGGACCCAGCACTCAGATGGGGCTTCACCAGTGCTGAGCAGAGGAGAAGGGTCACCTCCCTCGCCCTGCAGTGGTGCTCCTCCCAATGCAGGACACTCTTGGCCACCTTTGCTGCATGAGCAGGTTGCCGGCTCATGGTCAAGGTGGTGTCCACCAGGACCCCTGCACTCTGCAGAGCTGCTCCCCAGCTGGCCAGCCCCTACCTGTCCTGGTGCCAGGGGCTGTTTCTCCCTAAGGGCAGGACTTGGCATGTCCCCTTGGACTGCATGAGGTCCCTCTCAGCCCATTCCTGCAGCATGTCGAGGTCCCTCTGGACGACAGCATGACCCTTGGGTGGACCAGCCACTCCTCCCAGCTTTGTAGCATCAGCAAACCAGCTGAGGGTGCACTTTGTCCCATCACCCAGGTCATTAATGAAGAGGTTAAACAGGTCCAGCCTCACTACCCACCCTCTGGGATGCTCCATTAGCAACAGCCCTCGGGGTCTGGCTGTTCAGACAGTTTTCAACCCAACCCCCTGCCCGCTTATCCCCCCAGACCTGCTCAGCTTGGCCACAAGGATGCTATGAGAGACAGCGTCGAAAGCCCGGCTTGGCAAGTGCTGTGGTGCTGTGTAAAAGAAGGTGCTCAGTGAGGAGCCAGAGGTCCCAGAGGACAGGGATGGGCTGGAGATCTTTCCTGGAGCCGAAATGTCCCTGCAGAGGTGGGTGCAGAGGGCAGGGGGAGCATCCTGCTGCGCGGTGGTGAATGCACAACAGTTTGTTGTCCTTTAGACAATTATCCCATCGATGATCTCTCCCCGCCAGGTAATTGGAGGGTTGAAATGTAAACACATTTGTTAGAGTAAGACTAAATAATTACATTAAATGGCACCACCCGGTGCCGTGCTCTCCCCCAGGGACAGCCCCTCTGGGACCCTGCGAGCGCTGCAGCTCCGGGAGGGAGGGAAGGGCTCGGGGCTGGCCTTGAAACCAGACCTTGAAACCCACCCCCAGAGCTGGCTGAGAACATTTTTTAAAGTTTTAAATCATTTTACAAATTTTTTTTAACAGACATTAGAGCCTTCTAAAAGGGCATTTTTGTCCGTCGCTTTCGAAATGAAAGAAGAGGGGAGTGGAGAACTGAAGGGGCGGGGGCTGCGGGACCAGGAGACCGGGAGGAGAAGGGACGAACAGACCCGCCAGGGCTGCTGTGAGTGCTGCGGGACGGGAACCGGGACGGGCTCAGCCTCCGGGGCTGCCCGGTGTGGCCGGGAGATGGGCACGGGGACCGGAGAGGGATGGGGACAATGGGGACAGGACGGGGGGACCGGGGACCGGAGAGGGATGGGGACAATGGGGACAGGACGGGGGGACCGGAGAGGGATGGGGATGGGATGAGGGGAGCGGGGACAGGAGCGGTGGAGGTGGGCTCTGGAGGGGTTATGCCGAGGACTGGAGCGGTGGGGGATGCCATGGGGGACAGAGGGATGAAGTGGGGACCGGGGGGAAAAGGGGAGGGGGGGGG